GTTGAAATTGACCGCTATCTGCATGGAGGGACCATATGTCCTGATTCTGCTAAACCACCCCCACTGCCTACCAAAACACAAATATCGGCAACTTCTTCTCCACCCTACTCTCCTAATGCAAAAACCACATTTTGGACAACTGATGTTTAACCAAAAAGCATTTGACATTATCAATCACCGTGAAGGACAACACGGGAGATGTGGTGCCTGCTAAATAAAAAGTCGCCATTAAGTATTTTTTACATATTTAAAAGTGGGATGGAGTGGCGAATCTTTCACCGTCTGTAAACAAACATTTTTATTGTGTTAGCTTACAACAGATAGGAAGCTACGTTTGCCCACCAGTAAATAAATGATGAAAGGGTAGTATGAAGTGAAATCATACGATTCGTTTTACGATGCAAATGCTGTCGGCGTTTGAGCATGGACACTGCAGAGAATCAGCTACACATTCCAGAGGTCTTGGCTTCGGAACAAAAGGAACACAAAATGTGACCGACTGCCTGATTGTGGACCCATTTTAGATCATGTCGTTCATCGCCACCTAAATTTCGGTAGTGGACATTGCGAGGGTTCCAACATCATGGGCTAATTAGGAGGCTAAGGCAACCACTTTGACAATTAGCGCTGACTGCTCGTGGGTCCATCTGACTGTAGATGGATTTGACAATTGGCGCTCACTGAAGTGCTGCCATAGGAACCTCTTTCCCGTCATCAAAAGTGCAGTTCCGTTAGGTTGGTGGTAGTGTGAGGTTGAAGTACAGCTTAAACTCAGCTGAATCCAGCTAGCGACGTAGTAGGCGAAATTGCCGTGTGTCATTCTGTCTAGCGAGATGAAGATTGAATCGGTCCTTGTGCACTTTGATGCATGAATACTACGTCGCTATTTGCAATAACCTGGGGCTGACGTGAGTAACGCTTGATCCAATTGAGCTTCAAACCACAGTAATCAACGGCTAATGATTCGACACGGATGCTGAAGCTCAACTGACGTGTGTGAATGGGCAGTGGAATAGGCTGTGTGCGTACCGGATAGGCAGATAAGCAGTGGAGAATATCAGAAACGCAGTTTCAGCAGCACGTCCTTATAGTATTTGATTGACCTTAGCCATATAGTGAGTAGCAGCAGGCTGCAAGTACATCTGCACACCTTGTCGAGACATCTGAATTGACTTTGTATTGGATAGCCTGTAATAAGGAAATCCAGTAGCTGATCCTTATTTACATTTCTACCACGATTTGTACATTTCGGTTGCTACCACATTTCCATGTTAAATCGCATAAATAATGGATGTGTTAATGTACTTACTCCACATCCTACATGCACGGTGCAAATCGCAAATGATGAAGAGGATTTCCTAAATAAACATGCAACTATTTTACCAATTCTTGCATTTGCATTAAAGCATTTTAAGAAAACAAAAGAAGTGGTCCACATTCAGCCACTACAGATGCACCTGCTGATGCGTTTGGATGCCAAGAGCAGGGGGCGACTTGTGACGCGATACTTGGGTTACAGATGTCAAACCGATCAAATTCTTGTCAAAACCGCCTCGTTTCTAATCGGTTCAGTTTAGTTTTTAGCGCACAATAACCGCAGACACAATGATTTTAAGAAGGATTAATTGCTGATTGCCTCAGTTATTCACCCATATCAGCCCAAGATGGCATTAATGGAGGTATGATGAACAGAAGAAATGGAAGGATTACTGTCTACCTCATTGGTGGTTGTCAATGCAGTGTACACGGGAAGTATTTAACGCATGCAGAGTTGTGGTAGTCTCACTAACCAAAATTTATTGTTGCTATTCGAGCATTTTACGATACATTTTATTTCCGATACTGCATTTGGCTAACTTGTCTTTGCTGCCTTATTCACCAAAGGTTTTAATTTTGAAATGAGGTATCTCATTCACATTGACTACCTTGCAGAGTTTGGAAATCTCCAGAATCAGACGATCCTTAAATTTAGGTGTCCGAGCTCAGTTCTGGTAAGAATGTGTCGACCACATCTACTGGCGACCTTTTCATACTTACGCATTTTCGTAAATCAGTTCTGTTTTGAGGTGAGCAAGTATTTTTGTAAACCTCGTTTGTTCTTGATATGAACAATCCCACAAAACAGAAAAAAGTTTTTTGTCTTAACGCATTTTGGTGAAAGCACATCAGCTCAACAAATGTTGAATGTAAAATTTAGAATGATTAAGAATGTTGGAATGTTCTCCGGAGTGATAGACATGTATCATCCAATTGCCTGGACCTTGTTTGTTCTACTGATTCTACAAACTACGAGGTGATGAGCAAAACCACTTCTTCCATTTAACTTGGTGAGGTCAGAGACGAGAAATTCACAATGGCTCAATTATCGTCAAACCATCTTGGTTTGGGCAGAAAAGAAGCACTTTTGTGATTGCGCCGATTAACGCTGCATCTACTTACCATTTACGCCATTTTCGCTTGAGCTACAAACGTGTAGATTGTCAGTTTTCAAGTATTTATTACAATATTTGAAGGAGAGTAAAAGTGAATGTGATAAACTGCAGCATTGTTCACGAGTGAGAAGGCGTTCTCCTTTAAAATGAAGACCGATGCTGGTAAATTTGATTGCCAGTTAGCATTTGCATGTGCTAAGTAAGCATCTGCAACATGGAAGGAAATTGGCAATTTAAACAGATCCAACTGCGTCCGTTCAGTGTGAGTGGGCAACAGAGGCTATTCAGCGTGGAGGTCTGCATTTTCCCTCATTATTTTACAATTAACTGACGACATCGAAACATGTTCGGGCTCCATGAGGCAATCGCTTTAAACGATCGTAATGATACAGCTTGCGTGTTTGTCTAACAAACGACCCACTCCAGCTACTCTGTTAGCATTTTTACGACAAACGCTTTTAAAAAAGTGAAAACCAAAAACGTTCTTATAACCATCAGTTGCATCAAAATATTGGAAATTGTGGAGCTGTCAATCTGCTTTGACACAATTGACTGCTGGCTCTGCAGACTCTTCTCTCCAGGCCGACTTTTCACACAGACATGCGTTTTGCTGTTTTCACTTCCTCTCACCGTCATAGTTGGTCCCTCCTCCAACATCACAGCAAACGGATTGGTCGTACAAAAAATTGTTACTTCTTTCCTCAACACTAGTCGCAGCAGCTCTCCACTGGTTTACTACCCCTAATTTTATTCATTCCAGTTGACTATCTCGACATCGGCCCTATGCTGAGCAAGGCTTATCTCACCTCCAACAATAATTCACTTGACTTTATGCCATTAACTATTATTTTTGACTCACGGATATAAAACTTCTCTCCTTTCGTAACTACGCGATTTGCCGGTATTGGAGAGATTTCGTTCCACACTACAATATGAACAGCTTCCTGAATATGCCCAAAGTTGATGCAGCAGCACGTACCGATATCCTTCAGAGTATAAGCAAACTTCATGCCAAACTGTATAAGTACACTTCTGTAAAGACTTCTGCCCAATTCACCATCTCGCTACCCCGTGCCCTCACCAGCCATATTGCCCCTGTCCTTCCTTTGTGCCTGGTTAATAATTACGAGTTGACAGCTTTAAAGCACATTGACAAGAGCAGGAAAGAACTGCCCGAGAAGGAAAACGAGATGGCAATGCTAACAGATGCAATAAGGTTAAGAGAACCACGTGCAGAGAATCGAAGCATCGCTTTGCACTGGACAATGATTAACAGCGAGAATGGTCGCTATTACGATTGCCTGTCATCGGTGTTCCAAAAGATAAGTAAACTCGGATTGAATTCATCCGAACTGGAACACTTTTGTCTTCACAAACCCCTCCAAATTGCATGCACGCGTGTTCAGGCATTAACATTTTGTTCTGCTTCTGACACGTTGAGTTAGGCCGGGTTCATCGTTCCTATATCTCACATCTCGATGGAGGGTGCACCTGCTGGACGAGGCTGCACTGCAATGGACTGCTCCCCATTTAACTGTAATGGAGCATACTTACCACTTAGCATTGCGTAGCAGCAGCGATGGTGGTAGTGTAATGTTGTGGAAGCCAGACCAAAGGAGCAGCTTAGCAGCTCGCAACAAATATGTGCACCTGAGACGTACTGTTTGAGTTTGCATTGTTCGCGGTATTAAATACCAGTATAGCATAATAATTCAACGTAATTTGCACATGATGGCTGCGAAGTCATCAGTTACATGCATCCACAGCTTGTCTGGTCAATCAAAGCAACATTGAACTTTATACGCTTTGATTAGGGCTAAATCGTGTCGGCATATCAGGCGCGAATGTGAAAGAAACATTAAAATAGTTGCTTTTTATTTATCTAGCTATTTTTTAGGGCAAAGCCTTCGCTGAGGCAATATTTTCCATGTGGCGCCAAAAAGTATATAAACAGAAAAGAGTTATAAATATACAGTGATTCTGCTTAGGAAAGGCTTTTGGATTTTCAATGTGGAAGAAAGATTAGACTACTCGTGATAGAGTAAAATCGCCAGAGTTAAAATGACCTCTTATTACCGAGGCCAGATACGTCCAACAAGTGCACTCCATTAAAGTATTGTAAAGATGTGGGGATGTGAAGGCGAAACAGCAAAGGCTCGTGAAGACGAACCATACATTAACGTGATAAAAATAACTGTAGTGTGAATGTGGAATCCTTGCTCACAAATACTTCGATATGGCAGTCCTGACTGTTTTGTTCGCAGTTGTCCAACACATGAAGAGCAAAATTGGTAGTGATAGTCGGTAGAACAAGGCTTTGAAAGTGGAATTAATGCAAACATTGACTTATTTTTATATTTTTACCGTAGGATATGTCACATTATCTTCTGTGGATTAGGGCTATATCTTGCAGGGTAGTCAAGGTTAGCTGCTAGCAAAATATGCCTCTTCTCTCAAATTGGGCTAAGCGATTCCAATTGCCTTGGTGAAAAGCTGCCTTCCTACCTTCCAAGTGCACAATCATCTAGCCCTTCCCTACACAACTAGTAAATCTACCTTCGGGATTGATGCGTTAAATCATGCCCTTAGAGAGGGATCTGAGTGCAATTGTTGATTAGTCGTGTGAATGGTAAGAAGGGTGCCTCCGACATATGCTGGAAGTTTTAACTATCTTCGTAATTATTGGAAGTGCTATCGTGTGGAAAACGTGACTGGTCAAACTTTTTATTCGAAGGTAAAGTGTGATCGGCAGTGAGGGTGACTGACCAATTTGTGAAATGCATCAGCTGCACAGGACAGACTGATAAATCCATTGTTTCTTAGCGCCTCCTGAGCACCGGAATATGTGAAGGACATTTGCATCCACAACTTAATGAGCGGCAATGGTGACAGATTTTTGGTAACCAAAAATCAAACCATCTGATGCACAAGTATAGAATGTCATAAACTAAGGTGGATACAGTAGCGCCTTAATACCAGCTCATTACTGGATCTATTTTATGGTGGTAAATCGAGTTTCCAGGATAAGACACCCATACCGTGTCATTTATCTTACAAAAAATGAGTTCTGGTAATGAGTCGAATGTACAAAAGTCACCGCATCACTACCACTTGCATGTGCACGTTAGTCTTGACTTGCAGAAAAAACCATCAAATAGCTTTATCACTCAGTAAGATTGTGTGCATATCACGACTCCAAAGGCGCTTCATCTTGCTTTATGTGAGGCGCCTATTTAGGCAACATCAAAGACGAACGAAAAGAATTAGCTATCTAATGGTCTTGAAAAGTAGAACAAATACAAAGTGGTTTATAGAATGCATTGTGGTTTAATTATTTAAATAATTAGGTCCATGTGAAGTATCGTAAATATTTTGGCTTTTTACATATCGAGGGCAGAACAGACAACTGAATGTTGTCTGTCGGCAGTGGAAAGGGCGCCAGGGTAACAAAAGGTGCAATGCTACATTTCGAGTTGTCTGATCACGCGTAAAGAATATTATTTTGCGTCGTCCTGCCTCCTTCATTTTTGTTTACTTCCTCTTCTGCAAAGAAGTTGTTATTGTGATGATGAAAATACGGGACCTCGTAGCTAATTGTGCATTGGTGTCAAGATGGCAACATTAGTGGCACGCTTGTGGTGGAGGAAGTTCATCATAAACTAAAATGCGCCTATTTCAAATGCAGAAAAATTGTTGTTCCACATGAACAGGCTTAACTATGCTTGGCGGTGCACACCAAATCATGCTTATGTCTCCGTAGACATTATCGCTCTATTCAATGGACTCAGTTACATGTGACATACAACAAATAATTTAGCGAACATACTGCTACTGTACTCATGCGATTATGAACCCACTGACGTCCTGTTTACAATGGCAAAATTTTGTTGATTTCGAACTTTGTCTTATCAACATTGTTGACTGGATCGCCTCCTCCCTCCGTAGAGCTATGCATACTATTAAGAGAAACCTAGCATCAGCATATCCCTTTTTTCCAAAAATGGGAAGCATGGAGGTAAAAGGACACATTTGCAAAAAGAACTTTTCCTTGGAAGTATTGTTTAGACTGGCGATGGTCTGTAGCAAGGGCATCTGCTTTTCGTCTCGCTTTACATTAATTCGTCCTGGTAAATTCAACCTTCACTAACCACTAAATCACAAACGCAAGTTTTCGGGTACTAATTTTTTTCCCGCGTTGCTTTGTGTCGGGTTTGATTGGGTTTGCTGTCACCATGCCCCACATCTTCATGAATGGTGCGCTTACTGCACTGTATTGCAACAGAGTGAATTGGACTGCATTTGGCTAGCATACGAAACATGTTCATTAACCACCGATTGCTTTACATTCGTTAGCAATAGGGAGACTTGCTACTCAGCACTGTGTAGTAGTAGGAGTAGTAGTGTTACCACCAGAAATGAAATAAAATGAGTAGCTCGACAAATAGCAACCAATGTGTGCACTTGAGAGGTACTACTTCGGTTGGCATTGATCGCAATATAAACTGGTGGAACGGAAATGAAAGTAGGCAAATTTCACTCGTAATGACTACAAGACCCTTTTTTACGCAGTCTCTTTAACAGTTAACTAGTTTAATTATCTTCTGGTAATTAAGAAGCTAATCAAAGCACAAATGACTTTACCATCATAGCGGCTCAGGCTAAATCGTGACTACACATTATGAACAAATGTGGGGAAAACTATCAAAATGTTGGCTTGTTTGCAAATTTACTCATACATTAAAGACAGGATCTTGAATAAAGCAGTATTTCCTACTCTTATGAAAAGATAGGTACTTTAGAAATGATTATAAATGATTAGTGTTGCTGCTTAGGCCACTCGTGACAAGGTGGATTCACCGAAATTAAATATTTCTTGCTCTACTGAAATTAGATGAGCAATACAAGTGCAGTGCACATAAGTATTGTGTAAATTCCTTGCATTTTCATGCACGGGCGATGATGAATGTGCTACAGGAAGATAGGTCTGTGAATGTGCAGCATTGGAACAGAAGATGGTTGCATTTGCTTGCAAGTTGATGTTGTGAGAACGGCTTGGCTTCTAAGTAAGAGTGAATGAGATATCGGGACATAATGTGCGAGAAGACATGGAAATGGGAATTAATGATTTCTTTCATTTCTTTTCTTACGCCAGCCCAAATCTTCGCACGAGGGGCGCATCGATTGAACACATGGAATTCGGGCAGCCTCAAAGGAGGGCGAATCACTCAAGATTCTAGAAAATTAGCAGCCAGTTTCATCATATTATGCCGGTGTGAGTTAACGTGACTGTTCTGAAAGAACAAGTGAATTGATTATTTAAACGCAAGGTGGTCGTGCTCATTTATGTCCCGGTTTGAAAAGGACGCTACTTTGAGTCTTTAGAAAATAGCTTTCACGATGCCCCATTATCTTTGCAGTGGTTTAAGCATCACCAACACCTACCAACAAGGTAATTAGCCAAAAATAGAACCGGCATGTGACACATCCATTCCCAAGTGGGGCTCTCGGTTCATGTTCACAGTTTGTAATCACCGACTGATCACTGCCTCTTCGTTGCGTTACAGGCTAAACAGGTTCACTAAGGCGTTGTCCAACTGTGCATTTTTTAACCCAAAACCTGAGAGAAATTGCACAAGCTCCCAGAGTTTGTAGATGCTTTGGGGCGTGTGCGTGTATGAGTGTATAGAATGCAGTTATCAATTTTTCATCACTTTGGAGATGTTCACTGCTTCTGATTCTCGTGACACGTGTTGTACTACCGACTATGAATCCGTCGAAACCAACCAACCAGGTAAACTACTCTTGCATTAATGTACCTCTCTATCTACCGTGCAGTGATAACATTAGTTCTCAGATTCATTCGGCGCCAAGCAGGCCTCTCGAGTCTGCGAAGACCTCAGAG